CCAAGGGCCTGAGTTGCAGCACTCACTTGCCCATAGTTCATCCACCTCAAGGAAAAATCCAAAACTCCCTGTGATTTGGAAAAACTCTTGTCCTGCTAATGTTAGGATCATTGTCGCCTTCTCTCCCTTTTTCCTCTGGAATTCCTTTCTCAGCCATGTATGCACGCCCACAGTCCCACACATCCCCCAAAATGCAGGAAGGAAACAGATAAATATTCCCAATGTGAATATTTCTGGGTAGAGAGATTATAGGCATCTCACTTCCTTCCTTGTGATTCTTTTTTGTACTTTCTAAATCTTCCATGGCAAACATTTTATTTTCATGAAACTTAATGAACATTACAAACACAAGAAGTGAAAATTTCCTCTATTTGAAAACTAAGACACCATTTTCTTTGTTTCTCTCACTAGGCTCTACCTGAATGAATGAATAAATGAGCAAAAGTAGAGCAGGAATTGTGTGTGTGTGTATGTGTGTGTGTGTGTGTGTGTGTGTGTGTGTGTGTAGGAAAATCTTAATCTATGCACTGAACATATTGGTAAAAATATAAAGTTTGAAAGTTCTGCTTTTTCTCCTCTGTCTTTAGTTTTTGTTTAACTTCTTAAAATGTTGTTCATTCTAAAATCTTTTTTTAATGAAGAAATGCTTTTTTGAAGTGAATAATCATTCTGTATTTTATTTTTTAAGGCCAAAATGCCAGCGATTCTTGAAATAAGTGTCTCCTTCTGCATCTATGTTTATAAATTGATGACAAGCTCTTAAACAGTCATTTAGCAATGAGAAATTTCCAAGACAGCATGCTACATTCTGCTTAGAGTTCAGTTTAGTGGAATGTGTATAAATTGCTCATGTCAAAGGGAGACAAAGTCCCCAGAAACATGAACTACCAAGGGCAGCTCTTGTGACCACAGATGTTTTTCCTCTCTCACAGGGCAGCAAAGGGGCTGACTCTGCATGTCACAGCCTCCAGGGGCTCCACCCAGGAACACTGGACTGGCACCCATTCTTTCAGAAGTCTTTTTCTGCCCCTGCCTTCCCTCCAATTGCCAAGTGTCCGACAACTCTGATTCTCTCACGAGTTTTCTAAATAGGTTACTAGTTCATGCACTGGATTTTCTGTGCTCTCATCAATTCGCCAGCTCGTTGCAACCTGAATCAGTCCAGCTGTGTGAGATGAATTCCGGGAAGGTGAAAATCGCCCCAAGCCCTTCATGACTTCGATGCAGGATGCAAGCTCCCCCAGAGCTCCCATTCTGGATTTTTCTGTATCAGCAGCTAAAGCAACTCACTTGACCTGGTATGCCAGCACCCCTGTTTCCGTCCTGTTTCATCTCAGGAGGTTTTCAGCTCTAAGTCATCCCAACAGGCTTCGTTCTTTTTTTCTTTGTGGTCATTGCTCATCACTTAGATCTATAAATATTAATCACAAGCCTCATATTTTAAAACCCTTGTGAGCATATTAACTATTTAGCCACATAAATCAATCCTAAACTAATCTTAGTGGTTCATTATATTTTCACAAGTTTCAGAACTTTCCATTGTAGCCACCACTCTTGGGCTGCTTTTGGTAACAGTTATTTGATGACTTTTCAGTCTGCTGAGGCCTTTTCTTAGATAAGGGAGCAGAAAGGGAAGGGTGTAGAAAAGGGGAAGCAGGAAAAGATAAAGACAGAGGAAGTGAAGTTAAAAAAGAGTAATGACAAGGAAACAGAAGAGAAAGGGTAAGAAGGATGACTGCTGGTGGAGACCTGAAGGTCAGGGACTTACTTCTGATTCTCCAGCTCTCCTCAGGGGTTCAGAGAAAGTCACTTAACCTAGCTGAAGTTGGCCTGAATTAGAGGATATCTCCACCTTTGTGCTCACAAGTTCTGTCCTCCCATACTAAGATCCAGGGTCTTCTCTCTTCATTACCAGGACTTGCTTCTCAAACTATCCCCAGGTAGCACAGGAGAGAGTGAGAACTGCTTTGACTTCTCTTCTCTGTACTCATCAAAGCATGTTAAGGGCTCCCAAGATGGCTGCCCAACATGGGCTCTCCAGTTCTTGGTTCAACATTTACTGGAGGAGGCAGTCTCTGTGAGTGTCCTCTTTACTCTGTGTTTCTATTCAGATCACACACAGTCCATAAGTTCTCGGAGTCTACCTGCTAGTTGTATGAAAACTGAGAGGCTGTCCCTAGGACCACCTGGAAAATCCTAACCGCAGGGCTCTTTTTGCACCAGTCACCCCTAGAGGGCACCACAACAGGGGAAGCGGGGTAACAGTCACTGATAGACCAGACAGGTTTGCCTTCAAAAATAGCATCTGCAGGTGTTCAGCATTAAAGCAGGTACTTCATCTCAACAAGCATTTCCCTCACCTATAAAGCAGACACGCTTCTATATGATTCTTAGGGCTATTATCCAGAATAAAAGAGACAATGCCAGAGAGAGAACTATGGAGAGCCTGACTTATAGTTAGTGTTCAATAAATGTGAGCTTTTATTATTACCATATTTCCTCCATTCTGAGACATCATTGATCGGAAGCCAAAGCATCAATTTAATAACTTCTCAGGGGGAAAAACAATATATTAAACACACGTTCCCATTTTAAGACATCACAATTTCAACAATATTAAAAGGTGAAAGGAAATGTGTCTTAGAAATCAATGATATATAGTCTTATTATTGTCAAATTTTGGAATCATTTTAAGTCATTTGTTTGTTTACTTGCTTTTTTCATGTTTAGTCTGGTTTCCCCAAGAGGCATATAAGTACCATGAGAGTAAAAAAATGGATTCTTCTTCCCCATTTTTGTCTCATTGCCTAGCTCAGGTGCTAAGTGAATATTTGCTGTTAAGATGGTTTAATATCATCTTACTGTGAGAGGTTATGGATTAAATTCCCACTAATGTTGCCATTGGCTCATGAATTAAACTGTTCCTCATGTCTTGGTAATCCATGGAACTCAGTTACCCACAAGCATTAGGAGGATAGTTGGTTGGTAGATCAGTCGGTTGGTTGGTTAATTTGAGAACATGTTGTTGAAGAATTCAAATTTAGAATTGATCTATATACAAAAGGAAAGGGGATAAGAGTGTACAAGAAATATAGAGCTTCTCCATAACTTCTGACGGTAAGGAAACAGTCATAACTCATACTTGAAAACGAACACAAAGCAAGGGTGAGGCATTGACCCACATCAGCTGAAAGCACTGTCAGTAAGAATGACTTTAGGACTGTGGACATGCATTAGACATTCATAATATCTGTTTATAATAGAATCAACTCTCTCCTTCAAGTTATAAATGAGAAAAATAAATCCTAGTTGCCCATGCATAGATAAAGCATGGATTCATTGAGCCAGTGAGCATTTCTTGAAGGCCCACTACATATCAGGTATGTGCAGAGAGGTAAGAAGCCATGCGGTATACCTGGAGGACAGGGGAGGCTAATGAGAGACACTACCTTATAAAGACAGCACTGATCTACATCAAGTAGGAGGCAGCACTGATTCAGGTTTGTGGAGTCCCAAGAGAAGAAGCAGTAATTATTCTCAGAAGAGAGATTGCCAATCCCATTAGACTGACTTGGAGTGCCAGTCTCTGGTTTTGCATTGATCCAGTCATTTCAGAAAACTCCCTGCATCAGGAACTGAATCCCAAGCCAGGGCACCTGTCAGAAACCAAGTGATGCTCTAGAGATGTGTTGGAAACAAAATGGCTTCTACTGGAAACAAAAAGAAATTTTACTCATTCAACTGCCTGGAGGATGGGTATAATTATGTGAATAAAAGTTGCTTTTAGTTTATTATGCAACAGCACTTCTCAACTAATTGGCATAAACAAGAAATTGGATCCAATTATACCAATCACAAAGAACTTGTTTGACAAGAGACTGCTCCAGGGTGCGTTCTTCTTTGACAAGGATGAACACAACTTATCAGAGGGCTATGGGGACAGCATTATTATCAGAACAAGACACGAGAGGGACTGTGCAGTGGTGAAAGCTGTAAGCCCAGTGCACAAACCCAGCACTGAAGAAAGATATGGACAGTTGAGCTCAGGCTGTTGGACTAAGCTTCATGGGACCTGGAACAAAAAGGATTGGAACTTGATGGCCCTGGACTGGTCATCAACCATGAGGAGAAATTCAGTATTAGAAGATATGGAAGATAGGCATAGCAGACTTAGAAATCACCCAAACTGCAAAGGGGCTTGTCAACAAAGGCATGAGTATTCAGAGATAAAGTCAATGGTGAAGTGGAAATTATCAGCAGGCACTTGCTCAAGGTGATGCTGATTGTATAAAGACCTCTAGGTTGTGTTCTATTTGTGCTATAGTTGGAATCTTGAACATCACCCAAAGGCTCATGTGCTAGAAACTTGGTTCTCAGGGTAGCCACACTAGTTAGGGTTTTCTAGAGGAACAGAATCGATAGAAAATGTATGTGTAATTTTGCAAGTGGGTTTATTTGGTAGACTTACAGGATCTGGAACAAAAGAGTCCCAGTGGCTCTTTGCATGCTAGAGAGCTGGAGGTGCCAGAAGTCTCTGAGCCCCAAAAGATGAAAACTACAGAACTAAAGGCATCAAAGATACAGTACCAGTCCAGGATAGAAAGCCTGGAAGCTCTCTGGAGAGTTTCTGGTCCAAATCTACTTTGGAAGGCTGAAGAAACTGGAGACTTAGATCCAAAGGCAATGGAAGCAAAGGGTCAACCCACTCAAGAAGACTGGAGCTTCTCAAAAATGAGTGAACTTCCTTCTTCTTTCTTTTTCTACTGCATCCAGGCTATAAGCCGGTTAGTTGTGATATCTATAACCAGGGTGGGTCTTCTCCCCTCAGTTTGCTGGCATACATGCCAATCATCTTCCCAGACACATCTAGAACTGTGCTTTACTAATATTTTAGGTGTTTCTTAATATAGTCTAGTTAACATAACATGATTACCAGTCACAGTAGTACTACTGGGAAGTTGTGGAATGTTTCTGAGGTGGTACCTAATGGAAGCACTGACCTTAAAGATGATATTGGGTCCCACCTCCTTCCTTTTTCACTTTCTCACTTTTGTCCAGGAGATGAACAGCTTTGTTCCACAACATAATCCTGTTGTGTAATGCTTCCTCACAGACCTAAAAGCAATGAAACCAACCAACCATGAACTGAACACTCAATAACTGTGAGCTACTAAACATTTCCTTTTTAAAAATTGGTTATCCTAGGTATTATTAGAATTAACAGAAAGCTGATTCATAAAAAGTTTGCTTTCAGTTAGTATTGTTGATCATGCAAGTGCTAAAGGGACAACTCTACTAGTACTGAGGTTCAACTGGGAGAGACAAGATATATGAGGAAGGAAGATAGTTACTGCAATATCTCAGCCAATGGATTACAGGGCCAGACATCAGATACTGAGGAGGTGAGTAGATGGGCCTTGGAGATCAATTGGATAAGGAAGGAAGAAGAGGGTGATAAAAACCAGATGGTTTGCTAAATTCTTAGAGACAGTAACGTTATCCCCTATGTTCACCTAAGGAATATTCTGGAACACTCAGCAGTATTCTTCACAATGGGCATCTGCAAATTAGCCAGTGTTCATGACACAACAGATTGTTATATAACTATGTGAAGAAGAGCTCTCCAAAAGAATGCATTAGCATGTGGGAGTTGTGTAAATGTAATGCTGAATGAAAGAAACCCTCTATAAACCTGCCAAGCAAAAGTGGACATTGTAAGATTCCATTACCTCAAGGATGAGTTCTGATGTGCTCATTCCCAATTATTGTTACCTGGGTGTGTTCACTGTCAGAAAATCCATCCAGTTATGTATGTATTATCTGGGTGCACTTGCACTGGTAACAAACATGTGGCACTCAATTTGATTTTTCTTTGTGAAGAAGTATTCTTACATAGGGAGGTGATTACCTTCCTTAATCAGGGTGGACCTCATCCAAGCAACTGAAGACCTGAGTAGTACTAAAATTCTAAACAAGATGAGGCATCTGCCTGACTTCCTGAGCTGGAATATCGGTCTTCTCCAGCCCTGAGACGAGATTGTATGTCATCGTAAGTCATTCTTGGTTCTCAGACCTAATCACCAGTTCTGTTGGGACTCCAGCTTGCTAATACTAGATCTTGGCACACAGCATTTCTCTTAATCATGTGAGATAATTCCTTAGTTTATATACAGTTGATCCTCTCTATCAATCAGTTCTACCTCTGAGGATTCAACAAATTGCAAATTTAAAATATTTGAGGTATAACTGTGTCTCTTGATCATATGCAGACTTTTTTCTAGTCATTATTCAACTATATATATTTATGTAGTTTTTCCCAAATACATGGGATTTACAATTCTTTAGATATTATAAGCAATCTAGACATGATAAAGTAAATGGGAGGTTATAAATAGGTTATATGCAAATAGTATGCCATTTTATATTTCTTTTTCTAAAGAGAACAGAAGAACAATAAATAAGTGACTTGAGCATCTACAGATGTGAGTATGTATGGGGTTCTAGATCCCTGGTGTCCCACTAAGACCAAGGGACAACTATAATTATTACACAATATTAATGAAATTTCAATAATACCAATGGCAGAAATCACGCCTTCCGTTTTGGAATGCTAATCCTGTATGCTAGATAGGGACTGGGAACAGCAATCTTATGAGAGAGAATCTAAAGCCCCACTTAGCAGATAAGGAAATAGGTGCACTGAGATATTAACTATGAACCCCAAAGCCACCACCTCTTTGCAGAAACAGAGCAGGATCAAGACCCAGAAACTGCTGCAGTATTCTGCCTCATGATGTCTCGGGAGTGTTTCAAGAAATGTGTCGTGATTATTCTACATTAGGCATTAAATCTACTAGGTCTACATGACCCTACTTTTCTGAAATAAGCCAGATCTCTCAACCCACATACTTTCAAACATTTCACTATGAAATTTTCAATCAAACAAATGAACTCAACCCAGAAAAGCAAACACATTTTGGATAAGAATAGTCATCTTTTTAAATCAGTTTTTGTGTTTCTTATAGAAACCAGGAGCCCAGAGGTACTATTTCTGAAAGCATTTTGTAATGGAAGATTTTACCTGAGTGCTATTTAGTATTATCATTATTATCCTTGTTATTAATAATAATGATTTATGGAGTGGTTGGAGGAGACACTGCTGGTTAGAGACTAGGAACACAGGTCTGACTTGATACTTAAGTCAGCAAATGGAATAGGAAGAGGAGAAGGTAAGGGAAGAAATTAAAACAGATGGCTCTATCTTGAACAGATATCTACCTTCAGGGACCAACAGGCAAACAATACAAAGGAAAGATTCAGCAGAAATGGGACCCAAGGACAAACATTTTTCCTCTACTGTCACTGAGAGAAGCAGTCTGCTGAAACTCACTGAGCCTCATCAGAGGCTATAGCACCTTGACAGATTAACTTCTGACAGCTAGACATCCTAGAAAACTTTTTACAAATAGAACTGCACGTGACTTTCAAGAGAATACTGGGAGCTTGACATAGGTGGCATTACTTCTCATCTCTGCCCCTACACTGCTGGTCAAGACATTGAAAGTTACACAAGCACAGGACCATGTGATAACATCACAAAAGGCCACTTGGGCCCCTCTACAGTATAAAAGTGCTGATGTGGGAAAATGAGCCCTAAAGCCATCTTGTCTAGTGTTCTTAGACACCGTTGACTAATAAATCCATTCAGATATCCTGGGAAATATTTAAATTCCTGGACCCCATCCTAATTCTCAGTAGAACCCAGGATTTATATTCTAAAAGTAAAGCCTCCCAAAGAAATAATTATGGAAATAAACGAAGAATTGGTGTCTTGGGAATGATAGACTTGCTTTACAGTGGCAGAGAAGGCACAACCAGAAAACTCTCACTAACACGTCAGTGAGAGTATAAAATAGCACAGATGAAGAGAACATCCTGAAAGCTTACAGAGAAAAAAAGGATTTATCTTCAATGGGACAGTAATCAGATTCACATCAGTTCTCACCCTGTGAGGGAAAATATATTTCAATTATATACTTTTCCAACACCCATATAAGTATATTAATGTTGCTGCAAAGAATATTTTCTGCAAAACAACAATAAAATTGAGAATACACTTCAGCCAAATGAAAAAGAAATCCAAGAAAAATAGAAAAGGAGTTTAGGAAATCCAAGAAAAAGTGGAAACTAAACCCAGAAGGGGAATCAAATAAATCTCAGGATGACAAGTGTGCACCAAAAATTCAATCAGTCCAAATGGGGAAAGGAAGTCAAGAGATGCCAGAAATAACCTCTTCAAGAAGAAAGCAGACTTTGTCATTTAATTTGTACGGTGAAGAAGATACAACTTCTTAATGTTAAGATGAAGGCATAGATTTTTTTTCTTTATCAGTAAGAGGAAATAAAGAAACAGCTTGGAAAAGCATGACATCTATGCTGATTATGACAAAGTAAAATGCAGCATATTTGCAAAAAATTATTCGGATATAAGTAAAGAAAGAGGGTTTTGGCTTTGTGTTAATGTTCTTCCTGTATGAGTTCAGAGACACAGCTGTGCATTTTCTTCAGTGTGAATCCAGGCAGACCGCAAGACTCTGTTGTGAATAATGTGGACACCAAAAATCCACAAAGCTGAGTGGCTCGGACAAGATCTTTGAAGTCAAAGATTGCATTCAAACTCTGCTTCTGCTCCTTATGAGCTCTGTGACCTCGGACAAATTGCTTCACCTCTTTATGCCTCAGTTCTCTCCTCTGTGGAATGTCACCTACCATACAGGACTCTTGCAGAGATTAAATAAGTTAATATAGGCTACGCATTTAGAATAGCAACTACTTTAGACTTAAGCATAATTATGAGCTGTCGTTACTCTTGGCGTTACAATGTTAAAGCAGATAAATAACAATAACTCATTTACTGTACAGTGTTTATTTTTTAAGATTAGCCTCCTCACAAAATATAAATGACTAAATCACAATTAAATATCAAAAGAAAAACAAAAATCAGGAAGGAAAAACAATTACATAGCTGAAAAAAAGAGAGATAGGAAAGAAAGAGATAAGAGAACTGTTCATTCATTCATCTAAAATGGAAGTGACCAGATACTGTGTAAAAGAAATGGATTAAGCAATAAAAGATTTTGTGAACATTCATATAATTTAAATCATAATTCTAATCAATTTAAATTTATTATTTAATTATATAAACTACATTAATTAATGTTTGATATGCTATGACAGGTATCCATTTTGTAGTGTGCTCATAATTGGTTATGACTATGAGTATTAATAACAAATTTGAAGGCAATTTTCAAAAATAAAACAAGCACTAAACCCAATATTCATTAGCATGAGAAAACAGGTGGTGGAGAGAGAACTGAATTGGAACTCAGCAGGAAGTCACCACTGTTGAGTGCTTACTGTATACCAGGCATTGTCCTAAGAATATATCACCTCACTTAATCGTCTAAAAACTCCAGAATTTAAGCACAACTATTATTATTGTGATCATTTGACCAATGAAGAATTTGAAGCAGAGACGGAATAAGTACCATGTTCCATGACTCCTGAAAAGAAAGTGAGTCTAAACTTCCACCCTCACTACCTCTGATAGCGCTCATCTCTCAAAGAGGGAAGCTAGCAAGGGTGGTTTGCATATTTGATTTAGAGTTAGGGTGGCAAATGCCAGAGGAAAACATAACAATGTCCCACAAAAATGGGACAATGTGGGAAGAAAAATGTTGCACAAAAAAATGTCATGTCTACCCAGAACCTCAGGCTGTAACCTTACTTAGAAATAGTCTTTGCAGATGTAGTTATTTAAAATGAGGTCATACTGGATAAGGTAGGTCCTAAATCTGATGACTGGTATCCTTATAAGGAGCGGAAGAGACGCAGAGAGACAAACATGGAAAAAACCCATATGACAACTGCAGCAGAGACTGAAATAATAACTTCAGACCAAAGGTAAGGGATTGCTGGGAGCCACCTGAAGCTAGGGAGAGGCAAGGGTGAATTATTCCCTGCAGCCTTAGAGGGAGTGTGGCTCTGCTACTTCTAGCCTCCAGAAGCATAAAACAAAGAAAAATATTCTGTGTTTCATACAGCCAGCCTGTGGA